TTTAAAAAAAAAAGAATAGAAAAAGAAAAGAAATCTGCATGGAGAAAGGAGGAGTATGGAAAGAAAAGAAATATAGTAAAGGAAGCAATTTAAAAAATGAAAAACAACTCCTAGATAGATTTCGGAAGAGAAATAACGCAAACATATGCATCAGATAATAAGGAAATTTTGGATAAGAATAAACGAATTAAGAGGAAATAGAAGAAGAGGAAGAGGAGCTAGAAGAAACAGAAGTAACAAACTGAAAACAGAAGGAACACAATAGAAATATGAAGAGAAGAATTAAACGAACCTCAAGAAATCCAAAAAGAAGAAATAGAGAAGGCCACACAAAATCAATCTAGAAAATGCAAGTGGCGAGAACGACATAGCTCCAGATATGATTAAATGGCTAGGAAAAAAGGAAAGTAATGGTTGTGGAGTGTATATGCAGAAAGACAAGGAATAATACATTTTTAATGATTGAGAAAACAACTAACTATTATACAAAAAAGAGATCAAACACTGTAAAAATTATAGGCCAATATGCTTAGCCCAAATCAGCTTTGTTCAGAAAGAAAGACAACATATATATCTTGAAAAAACGATTGGAAAATATGAGAGAAGAATTATTATACCTAGAATTGATTGGCCTAAGGGCAGTTTTCGACAGGTTTTGGAAAACTTGAAAGTGTAAAATAGTAGTTCCACTCGAGTTATACAGTATGTTATTTTTACGATCCACTAATGAAAATCTACAAATTTAAAAAACATATTTTAGGTTATTAAGACAAAATAACTAATTTTAAAATAATTTATGACTTTTACTATTTTATAAAATAAAATAAAAAAAAAGTCTCGGGACCAGATTTGAATCCGGACCTCTTGCGTGAAACACAAACGCCATGTCCTTACCTCCATCGCCAGACTTACGATTTTAGTTTTAATACTCATAATTAAATTAGTTTCATATAGTTTGATTAAAATTTAAGTTTTAAGTTATGTACACAATTTTTTCTACGACCACAACTATTTAACGAATGTTCTAGGTATTTTGTATATTAAAATGTTCGTATATGACACATAAATAACATATATCACAATGTAGTTTTTATCACACATTTTGAAACTAATAAGTAATTATTACAAATTATACAAAAAATCAAAGTAAAAAATATTTAAAAATTATAAACAACCGTTTTTCTAATTATTGGTTTTGAGACTAGATAGACGATGTTATTGTTTATACAGGGTGTTTCAGAATAAAGTACCGTAAACCGATGGACTTGTAGATCTTAACTAATTATTAAGAAAAGCTAAATACAATTTTCCTGTAAACGTTCCAGTTTTCATTCTACATGGTGATAAAATGAATTTCATAAATACATAATTTTTAAAATATCTCCCTTACCGTAAAGACTAACTTCAAAATATGTACACTTTATTTCGATAAATTACGATAACCTATTGGCGTAGAATCAAGGACAAAGAAAACAGTTTTGATCCAAACTTTTTGAACACCCAATATTTCATAAAAGTTAAGATTAATAATTATTCCTCTTTGAATTTGTCACAAAAACGGATCTTTGCAAACAATTTAATTTCCAAGAATTTTCAGTTTTAGTTCTACTTACATATATGAAAGCTATGTACATTATGAAATTCCCAAAATGAACATTTTTATTAAGGTCCCATATCATAATCAATATTAAAAGGTTCTTTAACTAATGGGACCAATACGTCCATAATATATTGGACTCATTAGTTAATAGACCTTTAAATATTTATTATGAAATCGACCCCTGATAAAATTACATAGATTTCATGTCTGACATGTTTGAGTAGGACTAAAATTAAAAAATATCTCTAAAATGGAATGTTCTAAAGAGATTAACCAAGAACCCCTTTTTGGTGACAAATTGCCTGAGGAATAATTATTAATCTTAACTTTTATGAAAAGTTTAGATTAAAATTATTTTCTTAGCCTCTGATTCCACGCCAATGGATTATCATAATTTTTCGAAATAGAATGTGTTAACTAATAAAGGCGATTAACTAACAAGTACATATTTTTAAGTTAAAATTTTTAACGTAAGGGAAAATATTAAAAAATTATGTAATTATGAAATTAGTATCACCCTGTAGAATGAAAACTGGAGCGTTTACAGGAAAATTACATTTAGCTATCCTTAATAATTAGTTAAGATCTGCAAGGTTTACGGTACTACATTCTGAGTTACTGTATATGAGTAAAAATAATGTAAAGTAGGTTTGTATCAAAAAAGTAAAAAATACAATTGTGAATTCTAAAAAAAATATTAATTATTATAAACAAAAATGGATATATTAGTAAACAAGTAATTATCGGATCAGTTTTTTTCTAAGGGTAAATATTGTAGTTTCAATAATTATTTGAATTATTTATAGTTGTTAGTTTAGTTATGTCAAATCATATAAGCTAGAGGTGTAATATTTTTTTACTATAATTTCTTAGGAAAGTGCACCTATCGCACTATTTAGTCTTATGGGAAGTGTCCTATATCACACGCGTGTGGATAAATGTACTTTCCACCCGTGTGTGATAATGAATCTACTTTCTGCATAAGCTGTCAAATATATCAGACGTTTAATTGTTATTTTGATTGATGTAATTAATGTCCATTTTAATAGTAAAATTAAATTGTCTGCATTAATTTTTAAATATATTTCTTTGATATTTTTTTAACAAATTATTAAAAGAATTTTAAAGTGACCAGTTGACCACCCTACATTATTTTTGTTTTTTCCTGGTTCATATACATATTTAATTAAATGTCAAAACCGTGATAGCGCAGATTGTATAATGTCTAACTTTTTCAACTTGGTATTTCGCGACCATTTCGTGACTCTGGTTCAATTCCCCATGAATTATCTTTTTTTTATAAATAAACAATAAATTATCATTTTACGATGTTCTTCAATATTTCTTTAATATTAAATGTTCAGCACGAACTAGATTTCTGCCTTGGATTATTGTATGTGGCTGGAATGCAATTTTGTGACTTACTGATAGGAAACCAGTTTTAATCATTCATTCTATGTTTTCTTTCGAACAAAAATAAAAATATAAACAACAGTCCTTCTGTTTACACATTTTAATTTCACGCTATTATTTGATGGTATTTTGTTATTTTGACAGAATAGGTTAATTCTTCAGACAGCTTATTAGACTCATACATTTTCCCGTAAATGCTGTTGCATGCCTATATTTTATTATTGATTTTTATTATTTATACTTATTTTTTTAGAGTAGGCAATAAAAATATATAATAATAAAAAATTAATGTTTCACTTGTTTTACAAATCTATAATACACTTTTATTAAAACTAACAGATACACTTTTTAAAATTACGAATTCTATTAAAAATGGTATTGTCAGTTTACACTAAAATAGTCCATTAGTACATAAATAAATTAGCGCTGCTGTCACGCACAAACGAATAGCTATTTTATGTAACGAGTGAATATTTGTAGTGTGTTTATATTGCTTATTAAAGTTATTTAGTTTTCAAAAAAGTGGGTTATTTTGCCTCTATTGTGTTTTAATTATTTTGTTCTGATTTAGAATGAAAAACAAGGACCAAAACATTATTACTAGGTTGTAAGTTTAACCAAATTCTATTTTTATAAGTCAAACTTCCTCTTCTTTAATATAAACTTTTAATAATGTATATATTGATTTTAAAACCAAAAAAGCTTTATTTTTCTGTTCTTTTCGCAACTGGTGACATAATGAATTTTTCGTAACCAATTTCATATGTTCAATATTGTCACCCTAAACTTTCATATTCAATCGAAATTTGGAATAAATAGCAGAACTGTCAAAATATTTTAGATGGAAAGATCATAACTTGTTTACTATTTTTACCAATTTTTAACAATATCCGTCGATTGGTTTGTCAGATATACAGGGTGGCCCATTATTTAGGGGAAGTTATAAAAAATATGAGAAAATGTTTTAGATAAAAGTTATGGGGTTAACTTTTTTGGACATTTCTAAAATAGTGTGAAATATGTTAAATTTCATTGAGATACCTTAAATATCGATGACTCACCCTGTATATTTTTCTCGATTGATTTCTGCTTAAAATGTTACGTTTCAATAAAGTTTTTTTTTTTAAATTCTGCAACGTTGTCAATTTATTACAAAAAATGTACAAACACTAAAAAATTGTTCATGACAAATATATTAAAAGTTTAAAATATTTGGTAAATCAAAGATAAGGTTTAACTGAAACATCTGAAAGGACCAAGAGGTTATTTTTAATCACAGCCGATTTTATACAGGTGTACCAACTTGCCAAACTGTTAAACACTTAAAACTTCGTTTTTTTTTTCAATTTGAACATCCACTATATCATTTTTTGTTAGGCACTAAAAGTGATAGTTTTTGACAAATTTTTATTTATCAATTAGGACAAAATAAAAATAATAAATATAAAATGACTTCCACGAACTAATGGACCACCCTGTAAATATTATCTCCCAGTAATATTCTCTAAGTAAATAGGTACCTACCTAGGATATTATTTTTTAACAATACTTTCAGAGATTTTAATGGTGGGTTTGTAAGTACCTACCTATTCCACAAAACATTTTACCTAAAGGTACTTATCTAAAGGTATTGTCTGAAATTCGCTGAACTAGAAATACAGCAGTATTTAAACTGCCCTTTCATCAAATTCTTTCAATTCAACTGTCAATTTCATATGGGCGTTTTACCCTTAGGTTTTTTTTTTTGTTGACAGGTACCTACCTAATTAAAATCCTAAAATTACTAGCTGAATCAACATCTAACTTTGACTATTTTTCTTTAAATCATTGCCTTAAAAAATACCTAAAAGTATCTAGCAATTTATTAACAATTTTTAATGGTTATTTAGGGACACAATTATTATTGATATTGTGACCTACTAAACGAAAAGTATTCTATTATATATTAGGTAGGAACTAAAGGATAAAAATATCAATTATGGCCTACCTCTTCAGCGAATTCAAAATCTCCTTCGAATTTTCTCTTTCTTTTGGCATCGGAAGCGAAAACCAGCACAGCTAGGACGAACACAAATACCACCAATCTCATTTTGTCAGTCTCTTATTAATTTTTTTGGCGTTTTTCACGGTTATGAACCTCGTAAAATGTTCACATGAGAAACACGGTGATGTTTAAAGCCATGGACGATGCTATGACTTTTTGATTATTCGATTCTCCGGCTGTGTGTTTGGTTGCTCTTCTCTGTCTTCGTTCTGGTCTTCGGCGACGTTGCCGGTTCGCGAGCAGGTTGCCGAATATGGGGAAAAGGGTTAGCGGACTAGGGCGCGGATCGTACGAGGGGAAGTTGAATATTTTCTCGTTTTTAAAAGATAAAAACTGTAAAGTAGATCAGTCCTAAGTTTACCAGTTGTGGATAAATTATTTGGTCATTATGGACAGTGTCGTAACTAGAGGCACGTGCCCTTTAAACATCGAAGTACTTTCCTGTTAGACAGACCTTAAGTAATTTTGTCGAAATCGATAACAATACCATCCATTGAAAATTCAGTTTTTAGTTAGTATAAAAATTTTATTTTAACTTAATATTGAAAATACTTTACAGAATTAAAAACGTTTCAAATTTTCTAATGAGAATTTTACTCTAGACCTGTCTAATGCAAACATTGAATATATCTACCAATTAAATACTGCCGATGACAAAGTTAATTATTTTACAAACACTATAGTGCAACTGTTTAATAAGCATGCTCCTTTTAAAACTATTAAAGTCATTGAAAATAAAGCTCCGAGGCTTACTGCAAACTTAAAACTAATGATGTCCCTACGTGACAAAGCACTAAATAAATTTAAAAGAACTCAATAAGTAACTCACTATAATTACTATAAATACCTACGAAATTTAACCAACAAAACTATTAGATTAGAGAAAAAAAGCTTATCTTGAATTTCATCTTCGAAATCAAAAGCGTAACAACATCTGGAAGGAATTAAAAAACTTGCTGTACACAGTAAACCAGTAACAGATATACCTGAGAATTTATGCAATGTTCAAGAAATTAATAAATACTTCATTAACATTACTAATTCTAATAAAGTACCTGTAAAGTATCAAAACACGACAATTCTAAACGAAGGAAATTTTTCATTCATTCATAAATCCGATGAGGAATGTTACAAACAAATGTTATCAATAAAAACACAAGCCGTGGGTGTGGACAAAATTAACATCAAGATATTATTATATTGTTGTCCTTTAATTATTCCTTACATAACTCATATATTTAATTTTATTCTAATAAACGCTTGTTTTCCTGACCTTTGGAAGAAATCATATGTAATTTCTCTTCCCAAAAAATCATCTCCAGAGTCATTTTCTGATCTACGACCCATAAGCGTTTTATGTTGCATATCCAAAGTGTTTGAAAAAATTCTAGACAAACAAATTAGAAAATATTTATGAACTTTTGATCTACTTCCTTTGAATCAGTCTGGTTTTTGCAGTGGCTTTAGCTGTACCACAGCATTACTCAAAGTTACTGATGATATTCACAGAGCATGTGATAATAATCTGCTGACCATTTTAATTCTTCTTGATTACTCGAAAGCTTTCGACCTCATTAATCATTCACTTCTTTTGGCTCTCTTGCACTTTTTTGTATTTACGTATAATTCTATTAATTTCTTCAAAAGTTATCTAAATAATCGATGCCAGGCAACTATCATAAAACAAAATTCTTCTGATTTTTCTTTTATTAATTCTGGTGTTCCCCAGTGGTCAATACTAGGTCCACTTTTATTTGTCATGCATGCTTCTCAATTACCATTTGCTCTTAAAAACTGTCAGATTCATACTTATGCAGATGATACGCAGCTGTATTACTATTTTGAATATAAACATATTCAGGATGCTTGTAATAAGATTAATGATGACATTTTGTCACTTGTTCATTTATCTGATAAGCACTGTCTAAGCATAAATCCCTCTAAATCAATAGTTCAACTCTTTGGCCGACCCGTTGCAAGAAAACGTAACCTTAATAACTTAAATATTAGCATAAATAATGATCTTTTAATGCTGCATTCCTCTGCAAAAAACCTAGGTATACATATTGACAACTCACTACTATTTTCATCCCATATATCAATCATTACAAAAAGGTCTTATTGCAGTTTAAAATTATTATATATAATAAGAGTTTAATTAATAAAAAAACTAAAATAATGCTGTACGATTCACTTGTTTTATCACATGCAAACTACGGAGACGTAATTTACGGACTATGCTTATTAAACAGTGATAAAAGATTGCAAAAAATTTAAAATTCATGTGTACGTTTTGTTTGTGGCTTGAACAGAAGAGATCGTGTTTCCACTCATTTAAAAGAACTAGGGTGGCTTAATATGGCTGAGAGACGAGTATTACATGCATGCTCGCTCTTCAAAAATATTTTAAATTCTGCAACACCTCCTTACTTATATAATAAAATATCTTTTCGATGTGATATACATAATATAAATATACGGTTTAAATCCAAACTCACACCACCACTTCACAAAACTTATCCATTTCAGGGATCTTTCACTTATTACGTTTCTTGGCTTCTTAATAGGTTACCCATGCATTATCTCAGTTTAAACAATATTAGGTTAAAAAATTATGTAAAACGAGATTTAATGAATGGTGCACTCTTCGTTGTTAAATAATTTAAAATTTAATTTTTAAGTTTTGGGTTTTGGTGTTGGCTGTTGGCTGTTTCTGGTATATAATAGAATATTATTCATTTTACGGTTAATTAATATTATTATAATAGGTTACCCTTCTTACGATTTATTAATATTATTTACTTATGTAAGTACTTTTTGGTATTTTTACTTTTTTTTGAAATATTCTAGTTAGTTTTAGTTTTACCGGTTGAGTGGAAGAACAGCTTCTAGTATTGCTCCGGCATAATAGAAACATAAATTTATTTTGTCCAAAATTATAAAAAATGTATAATTTGAGCCAATAAAAACATTATTATTAATAAACTTAAATAACAATATTAAACCAAATAAAAAAAACAGCAAAATATCTGGGTCTAAATCTGGATACTGAATTAAATTGGAAGGAGTATGTAAAAATGAAAACTGAACAGCTAAAGATTAATTACAGAAATATGTATGGATTGATAGGAAAGAACTCTTCCCTTTCCATTAAAATAAAGGCATGACTTATATAAATAGGTTCTAAAGCCAGTATGGACATATGGCCTATAATTATGGGGGTCTACCAGAAAAAGCATTTACAATTGTCTAGATATAGTCTAAAAACGAATTCTCATGAATATAGTTAATGCTCCTTGGTATGTTCAGAATAAAGATCTGTAGCGAGAACTCCAAGTTGAATTAATTCCAGAAGAATTTAAGAAAATTGCCAAGAAACGTGAGGAGAGGCTCCACAAACACATCAACATTGAAGTACTACAACACAGACAAACAGGACCTAGTGCGTAGACTTAAAAAAGTCCTTGAATGCGTTTTAAGCTTGTGTAAGTTAAGTGATCGTGATAAAGCAGAGTTAGTGTTATGAGCCACAATAACGAAGTGTGCAGAATATGTTAATTAACTAGTATTGAACACAGATGAAATCTAGATTTAAGACTTGGTAGTAAATTAGGTTATTATAAAAATGCTCATTAATCTTGTAAGATTAGGTAGTTTCGGACAAAGTAACTAATAATTTGTCCTTCTTCGTGCATTCCTAGGATATTCAAGGAATATTTTCTTCAAATTTCAAGTCTCTAGGTCCACCGTTTTAGATTATGCGTTGTCTATTAGTCAGTCGCGGTACTATTACATTTATAAAATATATGTATATATAAGTATATAAGATTAAAATAAATAAAATATTTTTAATTATTATACCAGTAAATAGTACTATTTGAGTACCGTCCAAACTTCACAACGCAAACTTTTTGAACTTTTAATAGAAACGTGGTCCGACTTTAGTGAAAATATTACCTATTTCACACTTTTCAACCGCCCCTCGTGTCTACATCAATATTTCCATTGCAAGTATAAATTCCGTAAACCTCAGACGACGACATCGATTCGGCAACATCGTAATGTTCTTCGTGTACGGAGAGTGCGCTCGTGGACTCGCGAGCAAGGCAAGAAGAGCTTTCTTGTGCAGTGCAGGATTCAGAAGGGGTGTGGTGGGGGCGGCATGCCAGGGGCAGCCGGAGCGAGAGCCAGACCCACCGCCGAATATCAAATCAATGCCCAATGCCGCCCGTCCTCGCAAACGGAGAGCTCGATTTTAGGCCAGTTCAGATAGTTTGATAAAGGAATAGTATATTCTGTAACAAGGTTGGAATGAAAATTTGATAAGAGTGAAAAATTCTGAAAGCGAGCGCAAGGAACCTCGAGTATCGAGTTTTTATTCGATTTGAGTAACAGACTGTATTTTCTCCACGACCACAAAGTGTGAATTGAATACAGGGTGTTCCATTATCTTTGCAACCGTACATCATATACCAACGAGCAACTAGTATATTTTGTAACAATTTTCCACTCGTAACGAATTTTCATTCCAATCGAGTAACAGACTACTTTTCGCATGGCCACAGACACAGTAGGAGGTAGTAGTTGAATATAGTAAAATAAAACTTTGAACAAAATGAAATATTTAATCTAACTCATGTTAGGCAAGTTTTTACTTGAATCATTTGCATAATTTATTAGTTTAGAAGAAGTATTATCAAATTCCATATCAGGATTATTATATTCACCCATGCCGCTTATCTTTATTCAGGCAAATTCAAACTAAATAATAATAGAGTATTTTGAAAATTCGGAAACAAATCTCAAAAATCCTCTTACGAATGATTAAGACCATCCCCAAAGCCCAAAGGTGAAAACAAATACTTTTGAAAAAAAAAAGGTTGCCGCGGGATTCGAACCCAGACATCTTTGTTCTTACCGCCCTTACTGCTAGACCATGACAACATTGACTGTCGAGATTCCTTGACAGCAATTTGATGCACTAGTTCGGACCAGACGTCGTTTTAGGCTCGTTCTAAAATCTTCAAATACCTCTATACTGCAACAAAGATGTCTGAGTTCGAATCCCGCAGGCAACAGGCTTTTTTCACTAATCACTATTTTTAAATACTTCGTCGCGTAGAACACCAGTATAGGTATTAAATCAGTAGTGGCAATCTGAGGCGACACATTTGATCTTTAAAAGTAGAAATTAACGTTTTCAGGATATGAAAAGTTTTCTTTACTCGGGCTGAGTTATATTTGGTTAGTTGAATCATTGTTTTGCAGTTTTTTAACTTCATGTGTATGAGTAAGATACATTCATACCACGGTTCGTAAACAAAACGGTAGTCTTGTCCAAAGAAGTAGAGAGAGTAGAACGATAAGGTACCGTCTGCGCATCCATCACGAGTGTGGAAATTATGCGTGATTCAACCTTCCACTCTTATACATGTAAATGACAAGGAGAGGGTGCCCTAAAGCACTG